GGGATGCCAGAGGACCAGTTAGTTGCCGGCTTGCGTAATTTGGGATCTGTTTCTCTCTTTTGCGATCCCCGTTTAGATGAAATAAGTCCCTCCTCATCTGTTGGTGCTGGTGTCACAGGAAGTGTTCCTTCGAAACCTTGTCGTCAGTTTTTAGATTTAAGCAATGGCGCCGTTTCTCGCGAGAAAAATATTACTGTTATTGATGATTTACCGGGCGTTCCTTCTATCGCCTTTGATTTACCTTCTGGAAAATTTGGTCTTATTTCCGCTACTCCTTCCCCGAACGAAGCGGAAATTCTTTGTGAACCTCGGTTTTCGTCTGAAATTAATTCCTCATCTGATATGACTGCCTCGGAATTAGAAAGCTCTTCTCAGAGTGGAAGCCTGCCCATCTCACCACGCGACTTTTACGCGCATTCAACCACCCCCGAGTTCAAGCGCCCCTCGGGCGTAGAGACTATTGATGAAGAATGTTCTGGCACAGCAGAGAGAAAAAAGAGTGAGAAAAATATGCTTGATTGGTTCCGTTTAAGCTGGCGTCGAACTAAGCGACGCAGATCAGGTGTTAGTACTTCGAGTGGAGTGGAAGATGGGCGTTCCTTGTCCAACACGGGTAGGCGGAGACCAAAGCCGTTAAAACATAAAAAAACTACTGTCCAAAACACCGCCGTCACCCTTATTACTTCCACCCCTGTGGAAGATGAGGATTTGGGTATTCAAGCTGATGTTGTTCCAACTACCCAACTCTCCGTGTCTTCACCAAGGTCCAAGTATCAACGATCCGAAGAAAAGAATGCTGAACCCGCATTACCAATGGAGGCAGAAGTGCTTTGGGCTGAACAGAAAACTGCTGAATTTCCCGTCGGATTTTCAAACACACGCGGCTCGACGAAGACCAAATGTAAAAAGAGGTCCACAAAACCCACCAAACCAGACCAACCACTGATCAAAGATGAGCCTAATGCGTCAACTCCTCGACTACGTAAATCGAGTGGCAGTCTAACCAGTGAACGTCTGCAACGCCAAACTTGGCATCATCCTGAAGTAGCGATTAGTCCAATCATCGATGCGAACAGTCGTACGCCACCAAAATCTCCACTTTCTCCCCGACTAGATGATGATATCTCGGAGTGGTTTTCACATGCCTACCGATCTCACTATGCTGATACTTCACCGTTGCGAAAACCACGGCCCTGGAGTACGCTAGATTTTCCGCCTCAAAACTGCACCTTCCTTAATGATGACCATCTCTTCCCGTACTCCATCACACCAACAAAGTTACCAAGCTGTCGTTGGAAGAGTGATAAGGAGTATGACGTTCCCTACATAGATGATGATGCGCTGCCCTTGGACGAACCAGAGTGGGCGCTTGGAGAATCTCGGAGAACACTAACTCTAACTTCTGCTGATGCCGATTTCTGGCGCACTGCAATTGCCGAGGAAGAGAGGAGTGAAGCATCCGGTGGTAGGTCTCAAATTGTCTTCCACCTTAAATTGCATAATAATATAACTTTTAATGTGTTGACTATATTTGGAAATTTATGAACTATTTTTAGAAAGTGGATGGGGTTCAAAGCGACATTTAAAGAAGTGCAGAAGTCTAGTACCCTACCACTTCAAGGAGAAGAACAGAGTCCAGCCTAGTCGAACACCCAGATTAGTAAAACCCCCGGTCGAAGGTACAGATCAGTTTTCGAAAAGAGCTTGAAACAACGCACCATCAGGAAACGCCACAGACTCATTACTATGCAGTCAGGGAAACCCTTTCATGGCTAAGGTATGTCACCATTTTTTGTCGTTTTGTCTTCTTTTGTAAATTGCCTGTGTATTCACTAAAGCGTGCACACTAGCGATGAATCAGTGTACACACGTGGAGGTCAGGGATGACCCAATGACCTCGAGAGAAACAAGGTCATAAGTAGTCGCAGAATAATATTTTATGGTCGTCAACATTTCGCGTTTTCTTACAGGGGCCCCTTTCGAAATCCCATTCGCGCACCCTTATCCAAGTCATCCAGCAAACGCTAATCTTTCGATCAGACTGCCGAAAAAGTTGATGGTAAATGAATTTTCTTTTGCAAAGGTGTTCCATCAAGTTGCTGGACCTGAACATGTACATACTTCTGAATTCCGCATGACTGTATGCTTATATGTGCGTGCGTGGATTTGTGCGGAACTGCAAGTCTTTCCTCCTAATGTTAACAGCAGCAAAGTAAGTGACTGGAAAGAGGCACGTTAACGCAACGAAATACCTCATGCAACCATCCCTGTGTACAAAGAATGTCATCCCGACAGAGTCCTCCTCCTCTTCTTCAAAATTAGGGTTTTCACATACTGTGGTCATTTTCCCAACCCAATTCCCTCCCCCCTCTCCTCTCCTTTTTACCTTCAAAATTCAAGCTCCGCCTCTAACAGAGATAATTGACAGTGCTATCATTATTTCCTTAACCAATGGATACCCATGAACATGGCTTCACAGTGCGCGCATGCATTAGCCCTACTCTTTTACCTTGTACACAGACTATACAACTAACAATCATTTCAAGGTGCTCGGCTCTTCCCCTTCCACACCCCCCCCAAAAAACCCTTCCTATCCCATCCCCTTCCCATATATTTCGGCTTTTGCTTACTTTGTCTAATTTGCGCTATAATAATGATGGTGGTGATCCCTTGTTTAATATCCTATTATGTTCGTCATTATGGATGGTTCCAGTTAAACTAAATGAGACTTCTTGAATATTAACGGTTGAGGTCTCTCTGGCCTGTGTAATGTTAATATCTCCCATTTCTCTGAGTAGGTTACGCAGATTGTAGGAACGTCTAAGTCATTACTGCTGGAGTTATTAGACACAAATTTCTTGGAAATTAACTGGGTTGTCTCCAAGGTTCGGCTGCCGCAAAACATACACATGCCAAGTAATTTGTGCAAGGAATGCTTGCACCTGCAGAAATGGGTCTACCCTTGTTTTAGAATACAATAATTTATTAGAAAACGAATCTCTTTGACAAGTCAGCAAAGAAGGGTAGATTCCTTTACTATTCAGTTGTCGGCATTCACTATTTTGCGAAGTTATTTAAAATGACGTAACGCTGATGGAATAATGGTATTTCTGTTTCATAAGAAGCATTGGGAATTTTTCGCTTCTGCTCTGGCTTTCGGTTCATCGCAACACTACATCTGCCTCAATCTCCATCTACCCACCCATTGGCTACGACGCAGCTAAGCCTCTGAAGCCCGTAGAGGGTATGACCCTGGCGTTTGAGGGTGTCGAAAGCATCCATAGCAGTGGGAGTCTTGCGCTTTTCGAGCTTAGTGTACTTGGCGAGAGGCGGATGACACTCCCCAGAAAAATCTTGAGCACACCGCAGGTCTCCTCGTGACCAGCTTAGAGACGCACTTTGTGCCACCACAACGTACCAGATATCGGATAGCTGGATTCGCAATACCATGAATGCTGTCACCCAATACCTTTGCTCATTTGTTGAATTACAGCTACATATTATTGATAGTCAATCACTTCGTTAATGTTGTCGGTTTTCTGTATTGTATCAACCCCAGGATAGAGTTCATGTTCAAAACCGAGGTAAATTTCAAAAGATCCCTACAAGGATTACAGAATCGAGACTCTTTTCATAGTGACAGGGATGAATGTCGACAAAAACAACGCAAACCACGATAACTGTCTACCCTAAAGGTCGCTTTGGCCTTGAATTTTCATCGCGAACTGTCAAGTCTTATTCACATAGGAATGGAGTTAATTTGTCAAGCTGATAAGTGTGATCACTCGAATTCACAAGATTTACTAAAAGGTAAAGCTGCCAGCCTAATGCAAAATTAGGGATGGTTTTCACACAGGATATGTTGTGGTAGCGGGCCAAATTTACAACCTTCTGTTGACCATTGATGATGAAGGATGAGAAAAACAGCCTGCTTAGTACAATAATGTTTTTATTTCCTGTAAAAGTAAGAATTTATGTACAGCAAAAGTGGTGCCAATGTTTGCCCACGAACAGGTTATTCGCCTTCAAAACTGTCTTCTTTTCAAATGCACCATTATCCACTTAAGAAACTAAAATCAGATATTGTAAGCAAAAAATGGCTTCTTTTGAGGTGGTTTGTATGGTAATTTTAATCAAAGTTTGTTAACAACGATTTGGGAGCCAGAAATACAGGATCTGCGGATTGTGAATGGGCAGTGATATTGGATTTTGTGAACATTGAAACGGCTGTATATTTCTTCGCCAAAATTTGTCAAAGATTGCTGAAACCGCACAGTAAAGGATGGATCTCGTGCAAAAAATGCAGATTTACAACGGATTTTGTTTCTTGACACACCCTCCGCCAGGGTCGCAAACTTGTCATACTCGGATTCCCTTTGCAAAACTTGGCTCAGCAGCCAAATGAGAGATTGTCCTGATCAAATCATAATAGGTAACTTGTTACGACAAATCGTGTAGGATTGTCATGATGAGATATTAATTACGTTTTTGATTTACTGAATAGCAGAACTTTGAACGGAATATGAATTATATGAAACATGATGGTCAATATTTTGCTGAAGTCTAGCGGCGCGTGTTGGAGTTACAACTATGAAACGCAATAGACTCGCATCATTGGGATGTATTTTAGGTCCTACGCGAATTTAAGCGTTTGAATGTTGCTGCCTAGTAGCAATAACATGAAACTAGGGGATAAGTAAAGGCTCTTTTCTTCATTCCGCAACATTCACCATGTATTTGTACCTCGGATTGATACAGCCTAGTGATTTAGTCAACTATTTTTGGTAATTTTAAAAAAGCACTCACTGTTATCCACAGTTTACAAAAAATAAATATATCTTTCAGTATACCATCAACTGCATTATATCAATGGCATAAGGTTTACGTTTTTGTGGCGCACATGCAGTAGGCAGTGGCAACACTTCGACTGGGTGTAACTTAGCACCACACCTCTTTGATATTACGTTGAAGGATTGGAGTAATTTTCAAGTCGAAACCCATTTAATTAAGTCGAATGGCACCGCCTTTATTCGTCTTCTGGAATAGCCACTTTTACGCCGCACATAAAGTGAAAAACTGCTTCTTTGTATATCTTAGTTTATGAACACTTACCATTAAAGAAGGCAAATTTTATGCCAGGTGGACTTGTCACTACTTAACCTCATCTTCTGTCATCTGAGGCAAAGCATGCTCACCACGCACTCACAAACATTTGGCTACCTTTCGGGAGGTTTTGAGAATGCCTAAAAATATCTAAGGCTTTCCTCTAAATGCGTGTTTGAATCACGAGAATACACATAAGTTAGATGTTATTGTAAACATCCTCACAAGCAGATCAATTTAGGTGGCAAAAATAGGAACATCAAAAAAATGAAAAGATATTACACTGCATTTCCGTTGTGTAAATTTTATGCTAGCCAGATAGTGACTGTGGATAATGAGATAGTTCAAGTTATTTGAATAGTCACTTTAAATAACCCAACAATGCCATCCAGCTACCGGAGACTTCCCAGGAGAAAAAAAGGCAAAAATAGGGCAGAATATGCATTGCCGACACACGGTAGGGCTTGCAGACCACTGCTATGGCCCAAAAGCCGGGCCGCCTGACGGAGGTAAAATCGCAGAGCGTTAAGTGGCCTATTACCAAGGCCAAAATTAAAAAAAAAGATTAAAAGACTATATATTCTCTCCCTCCTTTTGAACGTCGTCTCCCAGTGATTCTCCTGGTCACTCAATCCCGTCGGCCATCAAAATTCATTCTGTACTGTAAGAAAAACACTCATGAATTAACAGCGGCAGCCATGGAATTTCCATGCGAATAGGGAGGTACTTGACCACAACGTCGCTGATGGTTCTTGACAATTTCACTGGATCATAAGTTTCATCCTGTTTGGAAAATGTATTGAGGGAAGAGGAAATGTACAGGCTATCTGCATATCAATTGCTAGTCACTGGAAAACTGACCAAAAAGCAGTCATTTAATAAGGGGCGGCACTTTAAAATAGTTTCGTGGAGATAAAAGTCCACGTCTATTCCCCTTGTCACCTTGCTCTCACTTCAGTGCTGCCCAGCCATATCTGTATGGGTTCCATCCAACAATTTGACAGATAGAGGTGGTACCGCATGTTCACTTGATTGACATCTTCATGCAAGCATAATAGATAACTGCATGACCAACTTTTTCGCGGTAATTCACGAACACGGCAAGTGCTGCATTCCCTCAGAACGCTGCCGTGGGGTTGTTGCTGAAGGTAGAAGGCATTTCTAATCCGTTTCTTAAGGGTGTTCGCAGATTTTACCCATCAACAGCATATGCCTTTATTCTGTCAGAGTTTTATCACCTATTAGTAGAAATCAGGATAATTATCCTTAAAATAGGGTTTGTTTTCCACTACCAGCAATGTGGTTTCCCCTAGACTTCCCTGAAGTTGAGAGAAGGCATATTACTAATGGCATGGTCTGGAGGTCACGCCTCCCAGCAGAAGTACAACTGCGGAGTTATACAAAAAAATAAAGTATTGAAATAGGGAAGTAAATCCGCCTGTCATGCGATATGTCAAAAATTAAAAGGCATTAGCAGGGAATTAGGCTATATTTATGAAGCTGCTGATATACTTTTACAGCTGGGCTACCGCGCATTAATTTGGCAGGTGATAGCAATATCAAGGTTTGCAGATGATATATAAAGCTCTGTCTGGCCTTTTTCTAAAATTTCTTTGCTTCATATAACTTCTTTTGTGTACATTGAGCTTAACATTTCGGCTTGTCTGCTATTTCTTCTTTTTTCTTTTTTTCCGGATTTAATTCTGAATATTTGTAATTCCATCGAACTCTTCTAGATTTGTCGCAGTTTTAATTTATCTTTTAATGCCTATCCAAATGCTCAATTTCTTTATGAAAGTGCAGGAACATTCACATTTATTATGGCATTTCGCCTATGTGGTGACCAGTCCTTTGATATCAAGTAATCGAATCAACTATTATACCTCCTTACTTGACGAAGTAGTCGTAGTCATTTGAAAAGGGAACAACGCATCATCTCGGAAATGCATAAGAGGCAACCGTGGTTATTTAAGTCCTCGTTCGCCTTAAAGTACATCCACTGATTCTGTAAACCCTTATGGTTTCCTTTGCGCATTCAATTCGTAAAGAAAGCGGTACGAAAAGCTCTCATTCCTAGCATTCTTTTGAGCGTAGCACCGATGGAACTTGTGAGGTCAGTCAGTTTGTTAGCAATTCTTGTAAATAAAAGTACATCGAATTTACTTGTTTAACTGTGTTGGTATGGAAATTTTTCCAGTAACTTTAAAACATTTTATCACTACGATTTCCACCCTCTCCTTCTTTGGAGCCATAATGGGGTGCAAATATGGTCGAATATTCTTTATTGAGGTGGTAGTGAATAAGAACACCTCGTGAATTGAATGAGTTGAAGGTAACGTTTTGCAAAATGAACAAAGGATCCCATAATATGGGCCATTTCAATGCCCCACATTATTATCACCTCCACGCCATCTGTCATGTTTGTCACCTATTTTGGCGATCTTGCTTACTTTGCAATTGTAACATTTTTTTTACACTGATATGTTAATCACAGCATAAGAATTCCAGCCCTCCGTTTTTTACAAACTTTTCTACTTATCTACTTTAGTTTATTCTGGCACAGTACTCGACTGACAACCGCAATGTTTACCGACTTGCTATGACGTGTGCACCTTTTTTATCGCCTGCCATATATTAACTTTTCTTATGCACTAAATGCGGATTAACTACGCGGTATAAAAGTCTATCTATATTAAAGCATGGTAAAAAAGTTAAAATTTGGAGTTTAACATATGTTTCTCGAACAGTAATTCACAAAACCACAGTTTTTTCGACAAGATTTTGAAAGTCTTGACAATCTTGCCATCAAGGGATAGCTTTGTTCGCACTCTTTGAACTTCTGCGAAAAATACTTCAAAGCAAGTAAATGAACGAAAAAAATCTTTATCTCTAACTTATTTAAAAAACCCAAGCTTTGCATCCTAATTTGGACTCTGTAGAGAGATTTGCTATAGTTCTAGTATTTGTAGCTTCGGTACAAAAGAAAAACCAAGACACTTTTAAATCCCTATTAGTATGCTTTCGAATCAACAATTTAGCAAGCAAATTGTGCCGTTCTCAGTAAATTTATCTAAATTCAGACCTTTGACTGAGATGGCCCTCTTCTAACCGAGGCAGTGAAAGATGCCCATTGAAACACAAATGCCACCAATACCATACTTGATGCCTATTCCTCTTTTGCTACCAGGGTCCATAAACGAATTTGTTCCTCTTCTTTGATTCTGGACAAAAGTGATCACCCTGTCAAGTAGTGCAAGAGATCACATGAACTAGAATTCAGCATTTGGAATTAAGTTTTGATCCACAGTGTGCAAATTATTGTGTAATACTTAAGTACGATAGAAATGCTTAGTGCTCAAATATCAGACCTAGGGTTTTTCTTTGTTCAATTGAGAGTTGAAATGAACTCCCGATACTGCCATTTGGGAGTAATAGGAACATACTCAGATAATAAGAAGTGCTTTATTAAAAAGCTCTAGGAATACATGTCTTGCTAGAGGAGAATAAGTTCTCTCTCACTTTCTCATGGAACCTTGAGTACCGCAATTCTCACAAGCATCTGATGTGAAGGTGATGAATAAACAGCACAGTTATTCACCTACACATTTGCCGTTCCTCTAAATCAAATCATGTTTTTGGATAGGGAGCCCTAAGTACCTCACGGTACTTTGAATTTTTTAAATCGTATTGAAAAACCAAATCTATATTAGGGCAAACTTTCTTGTTTTAGTTTTCTGCACTCTCTGTGGAAATGTGCCATTAATCTGTTGATGTAATGGTAATTTTTTGTAGGGTTGGTAAACAATTTTACTGGCGTCTCTGGCGTCATTTAAGGAAGAGGACCAGAGAATGGCTAATTCGCCCCAATAGTAGATAGCTTCTAAATTCTACTACTGGAGCTTATTTTGCACCGATGAAGGTGACGACGTATCATCCTCATGTATATCTGGGAATGTTGTGTAACACCCCAAGTTTTCAATGAAGTCATAAAAAGCCAATGTAATGTGGGATGCTATTCATTAGTGATGTGCAGAGGGGCCGGGAGGCTACTAGCATGCCCCGAATTCCATTCTGTAGATCAGAATTATCGCCTATAGGAACTGAGGAATCAACGTAGTTTAACACACATTTAAATAAACTATCAAACCACTGCATAGCTCTCACCCCTTCTTTAGGTGTAACCTAGCTCTCTTTTTGATAAGCCGTTAGTATCGGTCATTATAACGTAGTCGGTGTTTTAAAAGTCATCCTTGAAATAGGAACATCAGCCAATGAATTTTCTTTCATAGTAAAATGGACTTAACCTTAATGTCACTTGCCCATCTCAACAATTCCACCGTCTCCGGAGTTTTGTCTAATTTATGAAAAGAGGAAGTTCACTGTCATTTTGCTGCTTATGATCAGACCATACCCTACAGAGAGGATATCTCGTAGGCCAATCTTTGGTCCGGAAGCAGAGCCACTTAATATAAACTCGATTTAGAGTAGATTTACGTGGATAATATTTCGCATTTATTCCTTCTCGCCACTTTGTTTCTACTTCGTTGCGACCCAGCCATCCATTCGGGTTCCATTTAGCTAGTAGGAACTTGGAAGAGATGTCTCCTGTCCACGAAATTAACATCCGTAGGCAGCTCCACAATTTCCTATTCAAATGATTCAAATCTGGTGTAGCTCCAGTTTTTATTAGCATTCTTGCAGAACAAGGAATTAGGCTGAATGCCAAAGGTGGATGCATTTTTATTTCTGCCGTTAAGAGTCCCCATAGATCTGCTCATCCGCACCAAATCTCCTTCTTCTGTAGCGCTCCGACTTAGCATTTAGCAGCAGAAATTACGTTATTTGTGCTCTCCTATTGGGTTCATTTATCGCTACGACCAACGTAGCCTCTCAAGTCTTCTCCAAACTTCTATCAGACTGAAATAGCATAAAAGAATATAAATTAATGGCATACAGAGGGGCTGGGTTTTACTACCATATTTCAAAGGGCATACGTCACAGCTAAAGTACAATCTGCAGGGACTGAATTGCCTGTGTAGTTAAACAAACAATTAAGCAAAATATCAAAACACTACTGGTTATTTCATCATTTTTACCCCCTTAAGCACAAAATCCTTTTTCCTCAAATGCTCATAGTAATAACTAAGTAGTGCTTTAGCCGCCTTTTAATCTATTTCATCCAGTAGAAAGCATCTCGGCTCCCAAATTTCGAGTTCCTTCACTTCTATATCTCGAAAACCCTGCACAAACAGAATTGCAAACACCGAAGAAGCCTTCAAGTATTTTATATTACAATTTCCCTCAAATACCATATTCTGGACATTGATACTGCATCTCCTCCATTTTAGAAGATACCATCTGAAGTCAGGCTTTGTACTACCATTAGCTTCGAGCTAGTCATGCCATAGAATCCAATGCCCACGGCGGTCCATCGCGCTGAAATGACTCATTCCACCACTGAAACCTCACCCCTTGGGATGCAGTATCGGGAACCGAAGGCAAGGGGGAGGAGGGAAAGGGAGGGCGAGGGGAAGGGAGCATCCAGAGAAGCTGTGCCATTGCGACTAATGGCCGACCGGTTGGCCCATTCAAGCCCTTGGCCCTGACTGCAATACGGTTGATCGGTGCGTCAACATGCTAGACAAGCGGTAGGTTTAAGTCACTCCATCTGCTGAGTCACCCCTGGGGTATTGATATGCTTATGGTGATAATGGTGGCGGTGGTGATGATGGTTCGATCTCTTGCGCACTTCAAATCATATCCGTGGGGACTAAAACACTGGCATCCTCTGACTTTTCTCATTTTAGTATTGCTAGTGCAAGTGTAACTGACACCTCCGTGGCTACAGCAGGGAAATGTATATGGATGATTTGTAATACTATTCCATTTAAACGGTGCCATTCAGAGAGGAGGCGAATTGATGAATTGAACCTCGTGAATGAAGAGTAGTCAACATCTGACAACCTAGAGAAAAGTTCCGTGTCCATACCTTCCTAAACATGTACCCGATCCGCCTTCTTTACTTTACGCAACAAATATGACTAAACCAAATCAGCCTGGGTGTCCTAAGTGTATGAGGGCCAGGGAAGAGGAGATCTACGAGCCTCGCCCCACAATTTATTGGAAGGCTTTACCTATTTTAAGTTGTTGAAATATAGCAAAGTGTGCATTTTCCAGAGAAAAGTAGTCAAAGGCTTTCGCAACCAAGGTTCTAGAGGAAAGTCGACTATCACATTCAGACGTTTTTTGCTCTGGTATGCCATTTTTTTATCCCGAGACCAATACTATTTCCCATTATATTTTATTAATTTAAATTTAATTTAAGTGTTTGCATGGCGAGTTGATGCTACCAGTCCTCATAAATGGCGCACACTAATTCTGTCTAACAACAATACCAAGGAGGCTAAATTCTCAGGTAACTTTGATTCTTCCAGTGCAGACTTAGTTTGCTGTCAATGGAAAGCTCTGTGCATTCGTAATTGGTGGTTAACCACGGCTAGTCGCATGGGTTTCCTTTTCGTTTTTTCATTTGATAACATAAATAATTTACTAAATAATCCATCATAACAGACAAAACAAGTGCACGGGTTTTGGGGCACATAAAGTGTTTACCTCTACCAGTCTGCTCTGTTAACGGACATCATATGATGGAGGTGGAAGTCAGATTTACTTATTTGCATTTAGCTCCATGCTCCCTTACATTAAATACTCAACCTAATTAACGAATTGTTGTTTACCTATTTCTTTTGTACTTATCCCATCGAATTTCGTTCCGGCCTTAGCGATTTATCGAATTAGGGCATACTTCAATTAGCTACCTAATTATGAAAGACCCTAAAAAGCTCTCCTCTTACAATTCGTTTGATTTCAAAATTGACTTTAAAAGCGACTGCACTTTTAATTAATCCGATATTATGTGCATTTTATCCATTCTTACATAAATGTTATTTGCAGTTATTTCATTTAAGGGTACCGATACACGAGTGGCTATGGAGTAAGGAGAATTTTTTGAAAGAAGTCATTTGTCTTAGCCAGTTCCAACTTACTACTGCTCAAGTGCTTAAATAAAATTACCCTTGAACACTTCATATCTACCTCTTCAGAGTATGACAGCTCACGAGAACCATCACATCAATTAAGGATAGAAATAAGGGTGGCTTGAGAGCTTGGAATCGGTTTGAGAAATTTCAGCACGCGTTACAGTGTAAGAACCCAACGATATAACCCAATTCGTGCTTATATATTTGGCAAGCCTTATTTGGATTTTGGTCTGATTAATTATTAATTAATAACGAAATTGCATTTGACTAAAATTAGGAACTTCCTAAATTACCGGCGGGGAAATGCAATGTGGAAAGATTTTGTAGAAATTTTTATTCTGAAGGGATTATGTATATTTCATGGTGAAAAAATGAAGCTTGTGAAATGTTCTATGGCAAATTGAGACTTTCTGAAGGCAAAATAGGACATAATGCTGGGATATTATGGGAGTACAGAAGGTCTGGGGTACTAATGGCATATCCTAGAGGCCATACCTCTCAGCGGAACTATAGAAGCAGAGTCTTAATTGCCCACAAAAATGAACCGAAGAGTTAAACTAACAATTAAAGTGTTACATAATCCTCCATCCAGCCAACTGCTTCAGCCCTAGAATTTGCGGAGAACTAAAAAGATATTTGACTTCAACGTCACTGATCCCTCTTGATAATTTAACTGGATCTGAAGCTTCATCCTGTTTGGGACTGGCCACCACGAATGGTTACAGCTACCAGTAAGAATAGTGGCCGAAAAGTGGAGTCGTTTAAAAAGGGGACAGGGTTTTAAACAGTTTAAGGGGATACAGTACCGCCTCTGTTCCACCTTGCCACTTTGTTCCCACTTCAGTGCTGCCCAGCCATATCTACTATCTGGGTTCTATCCAGCGAATGGAGAGTTAGAGAAGGTGTCACATGTTCACTTAGTTGACATCTTCACACAGTTAGCGTAGACAGGTCTGTAACGAACTTTTCCAAAAGGTTCACAGTTAGTTTCACTTTAGTTTACAATCGCATGCCTGGTGAACACGAGACTAGGGTAGTTGCCAAAGTTGGATGGTGTTTTCACCCCTTCTGCTAGAAATCATCAGAGATTCTCTTATCCGCAACATATACCCTTCTTCCGTCACATTGAGGTTTGGCCTTTAAGAATACAAATCAGAGTAGATGACATTTTGGGTCGTATTCTCTTTGAGCTACCGCCAATGTAGCTCCTCTAGACTTCCCTGGGATAGACTATGCATTGTCGGCGTACAGAAGAGCTGAATGCTACTGTTATGGCCCAGAAGCACATACCACCTTGTTGAAGCATTAATTTACCTCAAAACCAAAACAGGAAGATAGATAAACTATCTAAGTTTTACAGTCCATCCGCATTAACACGGTAAGGCTCCATTTGATGTGGGGTCAGTCCCGCATAAGATCTTATCGTCGCTATGCAAAAGTAAAATGCAGGTGCAAAGGTAAGATTTCGTCATCGTTTAACATACGCGAAGGCATTGGCGAATAAGCACTTCAAGGTATCCAAACTTTGTGTCGTGGTAAATATAGTTGAGGAACTCATCTGAAGTCCTTAATGCTGTCTCATTGAGATAACGTTCTCTAGGAAAACAAACATCTTTTTTGTTTATGAGAACCGTGCTGCTAGGATCTTCCGCCTTAAGTAAATTGCACAGGGGTGGGTAAAATATGTTTCAGTAATTATCAGCATACTGCTGGAACAGGTAGGGAAGTTCCAATATTTGACCTTATCAACTAAAGAGTATCCAGCGCATCCCTGTTCCTCGTCTGCATTAGCCACTTGACCTTGGCCAACCATAAAATCAAAATTTCTGTCCAGACTCCACTCCCCTTTTCATGTAGCACAGCAATGACCTCAGAGATACGGTGACCTCAATATAATTAATCTGCCTAGGGAACCAGATGTTAGCTATCTCCAACCTCTTAGTTCTATACGGATTCGTGTTCCAGTTAGCTACATAAATCAACGCAGCATATGCGATTGCAGCACTTGAGATAGCAAATTTTGACACGATGATAACCCGTCTTGACGGATAAAATATTCTGCCCAAGTTTTAATTCAAGTTTCAAGAATTTTCCAGGTTTTTTGTCAAAGAATTATGGCTTGTGGTATTCTCTGATTCTATTTACGGCCATTTAAATGGGCACACTTATAATCGCAAAATTTCCCAAAAGTCGCTCACCATAATTTTACCCTCACCAGGGACGAAATAAACTCGCGTCTGTTGGAAAGGCTCTGCTAGAATAATCATAAATTTTTACCTCTCCATCTGGTTGACATTAATGCCACTGTCGTTGATCATGTACCCACGTCACCTGTTAAATGTAATTTGAAAGTGCAGCTAAATTATAAGAAGCTTACTTTCATGTTTTATGCAATTCATTTAATCCGTCGAAGAGTCATTAATATGAGCTGTGATTCGCGGAGGCTTATAACTAACTCGGTAGTCTTACGAGTTCCACCCATAGTCCTTGTTTATATACCCCGACATAGGAAATGTATTCCTCCACCCCTCCATCAGAGATGAAGTGTGGTATTTAGGTTGGTCGTTTAATTCCTTCTTTTGATTTCAGGGACATTCAAGGCTCCACGATTGTATTCTTGCTATGTAGCATGGCCTCTCGGCCACACCAGTAGCCCTAACCCTTCTGTATATCGCCAAAGCGTTTTTCTCTGAGGATTATGACTTCCTTTGCCTACAGTAAAGTCTCGCAACGCCGCAGTGGTGGCAACGGAAAGTAAACCCAATCCAAGGAGACAACTACCTTGACTCCCATTCCTAACATGGCAAACATTAACGTGACGGAAGAAGAGCATATGCTACTAGCGGGAGAGTTTGTGACTATCCCCAACACGAGGGATGGAAATGACATCTCCCTTCGACAACTATCCCAGTCTCGCTTTTTTTTCCTAAGAATGCTATTAACAAACTGAAGCAACGCCAAATGTGGCTGTAAATCATCTGAAAAAGTTCGATACGGTACAGCCTACATTACCTCCATGAAGAGGTCAGCAGAGTGAACACGTGAGACCACCTCCACCTTTCCACCAGCTGCATTGAATCCAGGTAGATATGAATGAATAGCACGGAAGTAGAAACGAATTGGTGAGGAGGAACAAATGCGAAACCTTATCATACCGAAACTACTCTAAATTTCTTCCCTTATTAAATGACCCTGTTTTGGACAAATGTTCTTACGACTAGCAATGGATATTCATGAATGCCAGCGCAATCATCTTTCCCCCAATACAATTCTTAAGCAGAGAAGGAATCCCAGATCCAATGGAATTGCTAGGAGGGATCCGCGACGTTGCAGTCAAATGCCTTCTTGTTGCACGTAAATTCGATGACCGACATGGCTGGTCGGTTGTTTGATGGTTTTTTCTTACACCCACTACGTTGTGATGGCCAACGTGGGAGGATGGCCAAGAGGAAGCGCTGAGGAGGTCATTAAAAATGGGAGAGTGGCAATGTAAAGCTATGATAATTTTTCTGCTCTTCGTACTTTTTTGCGGGCTCCTAAGACTCCGCCTTTGTACTTACCCCAACATTTCTGTACAATTATAATACATTTTTGTCCTAATATTATGACTTCCTCCTTCTCCAGGAAAGCCTCAGGGGACTACAGAAATTTTCTCTGCACAAAGTATTTATGCTTTTCATGTTAGAATAGAGAGAATGCAAAATGAGGGCATTCAAAAGTGCTCGGTTTTGTTCAAGAAACCCTACCCGATGAACATATTCTCAAGTTAATTTAAGAATTTCCACTTATCATATTTTGCGTACGTAATTTTCAGTACTACAATAAATTTTGTACGGAAGTATGTTCCGTTTTAAGCATTTTCACGTGCTTCCAATGATCCACATACTTTCTGTACACGGTAAAATACCCAACATTAAAGTAGTCAAGCAAATAGGCACTATAGCTCAAAAATCTAAAGCACAGCGTCGAAATTGTTTCTCCAGTCAAGTGTTTTGGAACATTTAAGCGTTAGGGCAAAAGATCTCCTCGAGGCGGTATTGTTGCTCGATTACTTAAACATAGTGAGGTGTTACTTGGGTTAGGCTCCGCATTTAAGCGGGTACCGTGGACAGCTTCGCAACGAATTTTCTTAGATAGTTCATGGCCAGTATGGATTCATATGATACTACCATTCCTGGAGAATACGGAACTGGAGTGGATATTGAAGGTGGACGTCCCTTTTAGCCCTTCTATTAGGGGCCGTCGCAGTTCCTCCCATCCGCAGCATATTTCCTCCTTCCGTCAAGTTAAGATTTAGCGTTCAGTAATAGAAATCGAAACTATTACCTTTAAGGATCAGAGTCGCTTTCCACTGTCACTAGTTTAGCTATCAAAGACCTCCCTGACGAAGAAGGGGAGTATAATGCTAGGGTGGAACATATTTTTTCCTGACGTAGAAAAGGGCGGCCGCTGGTATAGACTGGAGGCCATATCGTTTGTAGAATTGCAAAGGTGGAACCTTAAGTCTTCCTAAAATCAAGACCATAA